ATCCTTAACAAAACAATTTAACCACAGAGATCACGAGAAAAAAATTTAAATTTGGTACGTGTAAAATGATTAGATTTTGAGCGCGTCCGCGTATGCATTCACGTAATTAATTCCAATACTATATTAATAAGAAAAAGAAAAAGTAAAAAAGAATTTGTGAAACAGTGATACGAAAAAGCAGCAACCACAAGTACCTGAAACGTACCTGGAAATAAAACAACATGTGTGCCCGTCATCGATTGTACAGGGTTGCCATCAGCAGCAAATATTCGAAGCGAATGTCCATGGATGGATAGTAAAACGGGACAATCGTAAGCGTTGGCATTAATGAGGCGTAATAAATAACGACGTCCATGCTCGATTCGTACGACTATTCCCCGTGCCTATATAAAAATGTCAAATATCTTCTCATAGATTGAGTTTAACTCTTTTATCACATTTTAATCGTAATATAAACTATTGGTTCTACTATTATCAAATAACAGACAGTGTGCCACAATCAGTTTGATGACACTCGACACTTGTTGGTTCCGAGTCGAGACGAAAAGCACGAACGAATTCTTGAGAATAGTAGAAGAGATAAGTAGTAGAAGAGATAAGTAGTGGAAGGATAATACCTGGCCGTTTACGAGAAGTTCACCCGGCGTAGGTGGATAAAGACTCGCGTGTCGCGTTAGTGGAATTGATGACCTTGATGACAATATAAGTGTCCTTTCCAGACTAAGATCGTCCCGTGATCCTCGAACTGTCAACGGTCCATACACCCCATCGGCCTGCTGCGAAACTAATGTTCCGTTCGATTTTATTTTTCCCGCTGACAATTTTTCAACCGCGACTCGGAATTCGCATTGTTCTTCGAATTGAGACACGAATCGTCAAGACGGTCTTGCGGAGACCACATGATCGCGAAGATGGTAACCGAATATTGATCATATCGGAACGTTGCTCGTACATCGTCACATATCGTCAATGAAACCGTCAAGTCGATTCAGCATTTTTGTTTCCAATTACAAAGGACCCGAACTTGAAAAATTCCGAGATAATTTCGGAACGTAATTTTTGAACAAATATGCAAGAATGACGGAAAAACGATAAAGAAACAGCGAGAGATACGCGCGCCGATCCCTTGCTCTTTCGAGCTCGCGGACGTTATTGATCTTGTTTCTCTTGATGCGCGAGCGCCGGATAGAACGACCATCTACGGCGTAGACCCGAGTCAAAATCGGCCGAGTTGATAATAATTCACATAATAATTCACTGTAAATTTGTAAGCATGGTTCGAATTTGCGTAGAATTTTTTTACAATTTTGCCCTTTGTTATCAGAAATCATGCGATTTTCCTGTGTTACATATATACATTAGCTTCATACATAAATTCGGATTGAGTGTAAAAAAAAGAAAAAAAAGAAAAAAGAAAAAAAGAAAAAAC